GACTGCGCGGACAAACGGTGCTGCAGTAAAGTGTGATGTTTGTTTGTTTGCTTGTTTCCTTGGGATTGTAGGGAGTTCCTACCTCTCTGTTCGTTTTTTTGTTTTAGTTTCTTACCATGTGGGGTTTGTTTTGTTATGCCTACCTTTCTGGGTGCCTAACTCCAGTTAATGGCAGATAAGGAAAAACCCCAACCACAAAGGGGTTTTCTAGGGCCATTGCTCCCTGAAGCCTCTCTGCTCCCTGAAGCCTCTCTGAAGGGGCCAGGTTCTGGCGCTGGTCCCTGGTAGGTCTGAACTTCATACCTAATGTTCTGGTCTAATACAACATACATTAGCCCAATAAGCTCCAAGGAGCCGTAGGGGCTCCCCACAGAAAAGAGGTGCTGACTCAGCGTGCATCCGAGGCAGTCTGCTCAGCCCCAGATGTCAGGCAGGAGTGGCCACAAAGAGATAATTACCTAATTATTTCAATGTCTCTGATTGATTTTTCTTTGTTTTTTTGCTGTAATATTATTCAATAGTGTGTAGTGTGATATATTTATATAATAAAATGTGTGAATCATCGCTGTGCTCAAAATTATGGTCAGCATATTATTGGTTCAATTATTGTGTTCATAAAACAATAAACGAATACTTTGTCGGTTATTACACTATATACACAGGTTATATATACGTATCTGCATGTTTTGTTTACCATAACGAACCACTAAGTTGATATTGCAAGTCAAAAAGCAGCGAGGTGTGACCACCACATCTACCAGTCAGCCTCTCACTGCCACTCCCTCAATAACTCCTCACTCACTCACATCCTCCTCCTATCATACTGTTCTTGCTTTTATTCACTATATACAGACATTATATATAAGTATCTACATGTTCTGTTCACCATAACTGTTCATCTAAGCTTGTATAGTGCCCAAAGAGCATAGTGGCCACCCCTACCCAGCATGATAAATCATGCAGATATTGCCACCTCCCTCACCAAAATGGCTTCTCCCCCACATTCCTTTTGCTGTTATTACACTATATATACACGTTATATATAAGTATCTACATTTGTCTTCACCATAATGAACTACTAAGATTCTATGCTGAGTGGCAGTGGCAGTGGCAGCCACTCAGCTGCCACTACCTCAGCTCAGCTCAGCTGTCACTCCCTCCCTCCCTCACCTCACCTGACTCGCCACCTATCTCCTCCCACCATACTGTTTTTGCTTTTATTCACTATATACAGACGTTATATATAAGTATCTGCATGTTTTGTTCACCATAGCGAACAACTAAGCTGGCATAGTGAGTCCAGACAGTAAAAGATGGTCACACACAGTCAGCAGACAATGCTACATCCCTCCCCACCAAGATTACTCCTCCCATTACAGCACTAATTATCAAACACAATCCTGCTATTATCAGAATCCTGGTCATTTTTATCACAGTCCGGGGTCTTCTGTAATACTATCATCGCTCACATGTATCCGCGGGCCGTTTAAATCTTGCGTAGTACTCCAACACGTCATATGACGTGATGCACAATTTATAGCAAGTTACTCAACACGTCATATGACGTGTTGCGCACTTTAAGGATTAATGACCAGAGTTGTATAGCACTACCTGGTACAGGTCTTACAGAAGAGAAATCTTCCCAAGAAAGGAAACTCAATAACCAGATAAAAGATATTACTGGCGGTTATCTGTCATCGCTGATGGAACCAGGGAAGGGCAGGGAAGCCTAAAAGCAAGTTCAAAGTGAAGAAGTTTCTCTTCATTATGAAGAGAAATGCAAATAAACTGGCATACATGTCACAAAAATGTTTTATAGCATGGGACCCCCTTATAAGTAAATGGATAAGTTTAAAAGATGACCAATTAAGTTAGTGAAATAAATAAGAGGTTACACATGGAAACTGTATATTATACAACTAAACATAAAATCATTACCACAACTCGCAAAAGTGAGGTAGTAGCGTCCACTGTACCTCTAGCAGTCAAATTAGTAAGTGACTAGCTTAAGAGGTCTGTTTAGTGATTTAGTAAGCTGAGCTCCTTGTCCCATTGACAGGAAAGGAATATTTGAAAAGGTACTTGTCTAGACAGGTCAAGCTATTTCAGTACCAGGAGCCATATGAATTCACAATACCCTAATTGTGCCAATGACATAAGCTTAGAGGCTCTACCAAGGAGGCTAACCCAGAAAAGGGGTAGCATTTATAATGAACTGTTGGAGTCAGGTGTAACACTGGTATACTGTATTCATTAATCGATAACAATTATTAGCACAAGAATCTTACTCTCCCTCTTTCATTTACATAAACATGAATGGCATAGAATCTTACATGTGGGTAACTAAATATGTACAAGCCCAACAAGTAATAACAACATCGTCCAAACTAACACAAATCATCCCCCAAAAAATACCTCAAACCCCTTTTGCCTAAGGGAGGAACATTGGATCCAGAAGCAAGTTTTGTCTGCCACCAACAAAAACTGTACTGAATCATCCCCATATTTAGAGACCATTGGCAATCCCAAACTGAACAGCTCGCAGGTGAAAAAGAGCAACAAGCATAACAGCACTAGTAGGAATATTGGTACTGTACCCCTTTAAGCAGTCGATAGGGAAGGTAAGAGTTTCCCTTTCTCAACAAACCAGGATGGATTGACATTATTGGCAAGTAGGTTACCTTGTACATATGTCTGCCAGAACATGATAAAGTTGATACCCTTGTCAAGTTTGCAGTAAATACAGACTATGCATAATGCAACGTCGGGCTATCATATAGAAGCCTAAAATGTATCATCAGATACGAACTCTCAGATGAATTTGAAGAAAGCAAAAAGAGTGCAAACAGGAACAAATAGAGCCATTGTTTATCCCAATGAAATGTGAAAACAAAATACTTGTATGGAGCAAGTAACAAAATCAGTAATTTGATATGTATGGCATTACTTGACAACACATATCTCTGGTAGTTCAACTTTGAATGGAAATTAGATCCCATGAAATGCAGTCTGAACAAAGCCATGGATACACACTAGAGCCTTACAGCTTATACTCTGTGAAAATTGAGCCAGTTATAGACTAGACTTACTAGACTTAAATGCCAAGAAATGGAAAATCACTTTACTGCCAATGATAAAATACTTGAAATTTTTAAACTGTATCAATATTTAATTTCTTGTAAATAAAAGAAAATATATGATAAATTATAAGACGAGTAACCTAAAATCGTAAACAGTAGCATTTGTTTTATGCTGTAATCTCCAATTTTGAAAATTACGTTAATTATTGCCAAAATAATTTAGCTCCAAAAGGCATAACGTTGTCAGATGAAGTAATTACAGTGCTGATAGTATTTTGTTACCAAATATCATTATAATTACTTTGACACATTTTCAATTTTCTCTGCCCTATATTTTAACTTCGTCTAATTTGTCTATCCCTTCTAAGGTTTAGATCACTCCTTTTCTGGCTGGCCTCTATTGGCTGTTGGACATTCCTCCCTACCCTGGGAGGTCGTGTGCTTCTTTCTGGCCATCTATTCCCCCAAGCTTTCTGGCTTGCAGTTGGGTCCCAATCTTGAGGCAGTTTATTTCCTTCTGGAAGTTATTTTTCCCAAGGTATCCTGCTTGTGGGGTACCTTAGGGTTCTCAATTAGACTAGGACTTTAGAGTACTGTATTTCTTTTTCGGATCTTTTCTTGCCCCTGGTGACCTTTGACATTCTGTCTGGTCTCATCTGGTTTGGTGTTCATTCAAGTGCCAACTGCCTTATGTCAACCGTTTCTTGGCTTCTGGGACTTTGGCCTGGAATTCCCAGATTCTTCTATGGTTGGTTCTACAGTATTCCAACTTCTGGTTGTCATTCTGCCTCTCCATGATGAGTTCGTTCGCTGTTTAAGCAATAATTTTTATTACTTTGTACACAGCTGCTGTCTGCGCTAGGATTTGTTTTTTGTGATCTATCTGGATGTTGGTATCTTTCTGGTCCTTCAATTTTCCCTTGGCTACACAGTGCCTGTGTGATCCTTAAGTGTTTTGTTCACACCTAATGCTTCTCTGTTCTCATGCCATCATGTTGCCAGTTTTCTTATGTTACCTTTCAGAAAAGCCATCATTTCTGTGACAACATTGGGAGTAAGCTCTGGGAAGCAACTGAGGGGGGGAGGTCCTCCCAGAAATCCAGCTTTGAATGTAATGAAATGCATTTTCTGGTGGGAACTCTGTAACGTCTTGTTCTTTCCATAATTCCTTCTTTCCCTTGGAGTATTTAGCGTAAAGTAATAGCAGCTTTTGAGCATGGTTAGCTGCTTACCAGAACCTTGGTTGACCTGGGCCACTATCTGGATGCCTCAAGATTAGAGGTGTTTGCCCACAGCAATGATCATTTGCCTTGTTTGACTCGGGACTTATTTCTTTCTTTCAAGTAATGCTTATATTGTGCTACCAAATCTTTCTGGTGGGCTTTTCACAGGTTTTGGTAGATCTCCAATTTCTTCATTACAAGTACCTCATAGTGTGTGCCAGATTCCAGTCCTGGCTGCCTTCATCTCAGAGAGAGAGCCAGAGTTTGGCCTTGATTATCAATATGTTATCAATAAGTCTTGGAGGTCTGGTGTAAATCTTGAGGTTCAGCTATACCAGCATGTAAGCACCAGTGAGCTACTAAGGGCCCACCCAAAAATACATTTCATTACATCCAGTGCTTGAGTTTCATTTACATTTTGAATATGACAACTGAAGTTCAATTTGCTGTCTGTATAGACCTAGAAATGTTTCATCTGTTTCATTTGCTCTCAATTTAAGCATTTTTTATTCTTATATCTATTAGGTTGTGATAATGCTAACAATGGTTAAAAATTGCACATGCATGGAATTTGGAAAATAACAGGAGTCCCCCATTCATTTTCATTTTTATCATTGCCTCATATAATATACCAGAAATGTCGACTCTTTAGGATGGGTCAAGATGAATAGAATTAAAATATCAAATTAAGACACACCTTGGGTACTTGAATCACAGTCTTCGTCGATGTATGGGGCAGCCACATGCTCTATCTGTACCACCTGTGGCACCTGCAGCAAGTCAGGCTCCTTTGCCTCTAAGGAATGGCGGGACGGCAGCGAGCTGATGACAAAGATAACTACAATAAAGTAGATGGAAGAAAACTTAGTAGACACTATAAATATATAGTACAGTATAATAAAGTTAATAGCAAAGTTATGCAGACAATATAGAAATTTATTGTGTTAAAAATGCAAAAATCCAGTATAGAATTAAATGAAATGCCAATTTCTAAGTGAGCCCTGGTGGATCCCTGAAGCTATCGAGCTGAGATGGTCCCAACTACTAGACTGCATCAGCTATGGAGACAAGTTCAGGTTATTAGGGACCAGAACCAGAACCTGGCTTCCCTCACAGAGGTGCAGGAAGCAGGTGACACTCCTCCACCTTACAAGGCAAGGCATCCAGAAAGTGAACCAACAAAGATCACTGCTGGGCTCAATCAGACGGAAGCCTCACAACATGCCGAATGAACTCGCCCAACAACGTAATGAATGACTGAAAATTTCTCAAAAACAACTGTGCACTCATGTGCCCCAACCCCCTCCTACTCATTTTGGGACAGAGGGAATAGGAGTTTACACTGTTCACTGGCTCAAGCCCTCAGTTCTGAAGCAAATGCATGCAGAACAGCCCCAACTGATGAATTGGAAGGTAGGAAGGGGGGAGGATCAGAGAGCCACTGGGACTCACCCAGAAACTTGGCATTTCATTATACTTAACACTGGTTTTTGGAGTAAGTCCCTTGTGGCTTTTCCTGAAGCTAACTACCCACAGAGAAGAAAAACACAGTGACTCACCAAGGAGGAGGAGGAACCACAGGCAGGAAGCACAAAGACAAGATAGCAGGTCTAGCGACATGGCCCAGTGAAACACAAGGATGATGAGGCCTGGAACCATTAACCAAGTACCGGGTCATCAGTACCCTGTTTGAACACCAGAACCCCCATGCGAGAGTATCAACCCAGGACATAATGGTAAAAACTGCTGCAAGAGTGGAATACTTATGAACGTCATGGGTACAAGGGTAGATCGCAGCCTAGACTTGATGACACTGAGGACAGGCGAAGTATGAGCCTTGAAACAGGGAACCAAGGAAACAGGATTGACCCACAAAACATCCTTCATGACAGAATTGATTGCATAAAGGTAGCAGCGTAGGGCTGCCACCGTACATAGCACACGATACATCCCCAGCCGTACCAACCAAGCATCGACAACAAAAGAAACCCTCCGAAAAGCCAACCATTTCACGTTTCACAAGAAAAGAAGAAGCCAGCTGTAGATGCACAAAATGCCCAACAAGGCCAAAAGACCAAAAATGCCACCTCCGGAGGAGAGCATGAAGCTCAAAGATCCGACAACTAGAGGCCAAAGCTGACAAAAACAGAGCTTTAGAAAAAGAATCCTGACCCAAAGGGGACACCATAAACTAATAAGAAGAAAGTGTAAACACTGTCCAAAGACTAAGTGGGCTCAAGCACTGCACAAGCATGTCGGAGGTAAAATTATGCATGAGAAAGCTTACAGAATGGTGCCAAAGATGCATTGATGACCAGACCACACACTAGAAGGTGAAGGGACAACAATATTTCGGTCCGTCCTGGACCATTCTCAAGTCGATTGTGATGAGGAAGTAGAGAAAGGCAATAAATAGGCAAGAGAGAGGTGAGGAGCAAAGTAAAGTGTTCCGTTCGATGACGTTCTCTCTTTCCTTAGACAGAAGGCGTCTGAGGGCCTTCTTCCTCTCCCGCTTCCCACTAACGTTTTCCTCAAATTCATTAGACTCTGTGTTGACCCTAACTCTTTCTCTTTCAACGGTAAATATTACACTCAAACTTTCGGTGTCGCTATGGGTTCCCCTCTCTCTCCTGTTCTTGCAAATTTCTACATGGAATACTTCAAAACTGTTCTTCTTCCTTCTATTGATACTCGTCCCTCTCTCTGGCTTCGCTATGTTGATGACACTTTTGCTTTATGGCCTCATGACCTTAGTCTTTTCCAGCATTTCCTCTCCTCTCTTAACAATCTGGCTCCTTCTATCCATTTCAAAGTTGAGTGGGAATCTAATTCCCTCCTTCCTTTTCTTGACGTTCACGTTCACAGCTCTGTGTCCGGGTTCTCTTTCTCTATCTACCGCAAACCCATGAGCAGTGCCATGTACATTCACTTCTTTTCCTACCATCCTCCTTCTGTTAAGAAAAGTGTCCTCGTCTCTCTCTTCCTCCGCGCTCTACGCATCAGCGATCCTCAGTTTCTTGATTCTGAAATTACCTTTATCTACAAATCATTCTCTCGCCTTGGTTACCCTTTGCATTTCATCAACTGTGCCTACTCTCAAGCTAAACGAAATTTCTTTCATCCTAAACCTGCTTCCAACACTAGTAGCACTGTACTATGCCTTCTCTTCCTATCTGAACTCAAAACTTTTACCAATACCTTTCGTCCTCTTGACATTAAACTCGCCTTTTGACAAACTAACACACTTTGTAGCAATCTATTTCACACTGCTCCTCCTGCTTCTAATGCTGCTGGTGTTTACTCTATTTCCTGTTCATCTTGTCCTCTCCAATACTTTGACAAAACCGGCCATACACTGAATGACAGACTTAAAGAACACAAGAGAAGTGTTAAGTCTGCAGACACTAACAATGCTCTCTTCTGTCAAGTGAGGGATTCTAATCATCCCAATGATTGGTCTTCCTCCAAAATAATCTTTCCTGCCTCTACACTACACAGACGCCGTTTTGTTGAATCGGCTCTAATACACAACGTACCCAACATGAACTTGAGTCCTGGCTTTGTTGCTGTAGACTCTTTCACAGTATATACTCAAATGCTCTAATCTTTCTAACAAACGTCACCTAACATAGGCTTACCCTTCCATTTATCTTTCTTTCTCTTTCCTTTTCTTTCTCTCTTCTCTCTTTTTTCTGTTCATTGTCTTCTGCTACGTTCCCTTGCTATCCTCTTCTTATTCCTATTACTATCTCCTCATTCGGTGGTTATAATAGGAGCTGCCTCGTATGGGCCAATAGGACCACTGCAGTTCTTATTCCTACTACTATCCCCTCTACTACACTTTACTTTGCTCCTCAGCTCTCTCTTGCCTATTTATTGCCTGTCTCTACTTCCTCATCACAATCAACTTGAGAATGGTCCAGGACAGACCGATACGTCGTCGTCCCTTCACCTTTTAGTGTGTGGTCTGGTCAACATACTTTAGCCACGTTATTGTGACTCATCGCCTGCAAAGATGCATTGACACCAAAGACAAGCAACAGTGGCTTTGCCAATGCAGCACAATAAGACATGACACTGTTCACATTAAGTGCCAATCAAGAAATAACAAAGAAAGAAATGAAAGAACCACATGTACAGAAAGCAAAGAGTAACGATAAAGAGAAAGGAACTAGCAAAAAGAGTGCCAATAAACCTCACATTGTTGCCGAAAACAACTGCAGGTGGAACACCATTAAAGAGGTAACCCAGTTGCAGTAGAGATTGTGAAAAAGACGTATAAAAAACTCAAATGCAAAGAGCAGAGAAAGTTGAACCAGCAAAGTATGTTACTGGGCTAATCCTCAGAACGAGCTATCCAACAAGAAGGCAGAAGGATCATCCTTCCCTGGTAGGGTTCCAACCTCGCCAGGGCCTGGAGCAACATCTGGACCAGGAAAAAAAAAAAACTACAGAAACCCCCATTGCAACCAGTCTGGCTGAAAGGCATCCTCTGCGAAGACCTGTGAAAGGCATCCTCCGCGAGGACAGAAATGGTTGAACATGTTTCCATTTGCCTGGTGTCTCTGGTCACCGAGCAGTAAATAAGTACCTAGAAGCTAGGCAATTGTTGAGAGATTCAACAGGAATTAAGTGTGGTCTAATGTACCAGTGTGAAAGGCAAAACATATGATGCAAAAGAAATACTGATGTTCCTAAACTAAGTTCCAAGGCATCATCAATTTCTTGGTGATGCCTGGCAACTTAGTATCCAGTGCTGTTGCATACAAAAACTTAAATTATAATTGGTCAGTTAGAAAGCACAGACACACACACCAGTAGTTTCAAAGCGTTATATGACAAAGAGTGTTGGGAAGATAGGACACCACGAGTGTAGCTCTCATCCTGTAACTACACTTAGGTAATCACTTAGGTAATTACACAACAGGCTTGTATTTACAATACAATGACAATGTTTGGGGTACTGGCCAGGCAGGCCATCTAAAAGAGCCCTGCTTGGTGATCTTTGCGATTCAAGTAGCATTTGAAGGGATTAGAGTATATTGGAATGTGACTTCTGGAGGTTATTCCAGATTTACTGAGTGCTTTCCTGTGTCTTTAAAGGACCAATATGACCCCAGCAGGCACATATGAAAGGATACCTATTACTCCAATACAGTATCAACCTGCCCTGACTGTTAAAGATCCTACCCAGAGGACCTGTAGGATCTCGCCTCATGGAGTAACCAAGTGCTATAGTTCAGAAAGACAGTCCACTCCTTAAAATGTATCAATGCAACACTGCCAGAGCAGTACAGTAATTATAACTATAATATTATACAAAACCCTTCCCAATATATGATTCCAGACATGGGTTTCTGCAACAGGCAACAGAGTGACTACACTGACTAATTTCGATAAGATGTGTAAATGTTTTAATATCCTCTACGTAAGTGCAGGCTACAATGGAAAATATTTATTAGCATGAACCATAATAGGCCTTGAAGCATTCTTTAACTTAAAATACTATAAGATGTTGTAATAAATCCTGAACATCTTTTTAGATGGAAAACTAAAATTAAATTTATCATCATATATGCTGTGCTCATCATTGTAAAAACTATAAATCTGTAATACCTTAAAGTAACTCGTTTTTTCATTCTCTGAGAGACATCAGAGTTGCCCCTAGTCATAGGTCTCTCAAAATATTTGTTTGTGGGTGTATTGGGTTCTGACGCTTGTTTGTCCACCAAGATTGGCTTAGGCTTGAGCACCGATGCATAGGGCGGAGGGGCACCTGGAACCTGAAAAGAAAGATATACAAGATTATAGACAAAATATGAAAAAAAGTTGAATGTAATGAAATGCCAGTTTGTGGGTGAGTCTTAGAGGCTCCCTGAAGCTAGCCTACTGATTAAGTGCCACCCTACTTGGAGTCATCAGTCACAGAGTTCTTGTAAGCCTACCGGGGACTACAAGCCAGAATCTGGCCCCCTCACAGTGGTGCAGGGAGCAATGACACATGAACACTTAATATTTAAAGATTATCATCTTGACATTGACCAGAGAAGGCACCCAGACAGGTAGGCAAATCAAAATATTCTACTGCCTGGTTGAAAATGTGACCTATTCCCTCAAAACAATAAAAGAATTTCCCCACAAAGAAAACAAACAAGAAAAACTTTGTCCAACTAACCCTCACACGTTAACTCCAAACCCCCACCCATCTTCCCCACAGGAGGAAGGGGATGCCGGCTCGGGTGAGTCTGGCCGCCTCCAGTCAGTTTTGGAATGATAAAAGCCGCCGACCAGAGGGTGGGAGGGTGTCAGGGAGCCTCCGGGTCTCACCTAGAAACTGCCGTTTCATTACATTCAACGCTGATTTTGTGGGGGAACCCCGTCGGTTCCCTGAAGCTAATTACCCACACAGAAGAAAAACAGGGACATACCAGGGAGGCAGCAGGACCGCAGGTAACAATCGAGGAAGAGACCGTTGGGTGTGACAGATGCCCCAAGGCAACACAGCCACAGAGGACCAAGGACGTTCACCAGATACTTGGCAGCCAAGACCCTGTTAGACCTCCAAAAAAAACCCATGGCCGAATAACATCCCAAGACATATTCCCAAACACAGCCAAGAGAGTGGCATACTTCCTAACATCATGCACACGAGGATAGACCACAGGCTGGCTAGATTTGATAACACTGTGAACAACCTGAGACACACGAGCCGTGGAACAGGGAATCAAGGAAACTGGATCAACCCAGAGTGCGTCCACCGACACAGAACCGGTGGCCCACATTGTACTTTGGTCTGGAATTTCTTTCGGAAAGCATTGGTTTTGCTTTCCTTGGCCTCAAGTTGTCAGATTGGTGAGCTTCATGCTCTGTTCTCGCACTAGAGATTTTTTTCTATTGATCCTGGTGGTCGTTTAACTCAGTTGCAGCCAGCTCCTTTTCTGATGAAGAATGAGTCGGCAGGCTTCCAGAGAGGTCCTTTAATTGTGGATGCTTGGTTGGTTTGCCCTTGGGTGCATCATGCGCTTTGTCCAGTGGCAGCTTTACATTACTCTCTTTGTGCCACTGGTTCTACTTCTGTGGACTCATTGTGGGTTGATCCGGTTTCCGTGGTTCCCTGTTCCAGGGCTCCTATATCTCAGGTTGCCTGCAGTGTCAGTAAGTCTAATCAGCCTGCGGTCTATCCTCATGCTAATGATATCCGGAAGTATGCCGCTCTGATGACTGTGTTTGGTAATACATTATGTCTTGGGCTGATATTTACGCACAGGTTTTTGAGGTCAAACAGGGTCCTGGATGTCAGGTATCTTGTTAATGTCCTCAGTTGCCTTCGGTCGTGTGTCACAAGCTTTGGTATCTTCTTCAACTTGATACTTGCTGTGTTGCAGTCTCCCTGGACAGTGCAACTTTTTTGTTGTTTTCTATGAGTAGTTATCTTCAGGAAGCCAATGGGGCTCTTCTCAGAAAATCAGCGTTGAATGTAATGAAACATCAGTTTCAGGTTGAGCCCCGAAGGCTCCCTGACACCCTTCCTCCCCAGGTGAACGTTGGGGGTCTTGGCTGACCCGGACCAGTTCCCTCCTCTCAAATGAGGAGAAAGGTGGGGCAAACTAGTAGGGGGCTACTTTCACGAAATTCTGGTTGTTTGTTTTAATATTTGGGGAGTTCTTTTGGCAATATTGAGGTTACGGTCTCATTTTTAAATCACGCAGCAGTTTGCTTTGATTCACCTATCTTTCTGGGTGCTTCCCTAATGGTGGTAAAGATGATGTACTTTACATTTAAAGTGTTCATATGCCATCGCTTTCTTCGCTCTTCTCTAGATTGGGTCAGGTTTTGGCTCGTGGTCTCCAATAGGCCAACATAACTCCGCAACTGATGATTACTAGTAGTATGGCACGTAATCATTGTGATAGCTTTAGGGAGCCTCTGGGGTTCACCCAGAAACTGGCATTTCATTACATTCGACTCTGTTTTTTAACCCAATATTTCTAGTCTCATAAAATATGAGACATTTCTTATGATATAGGGTATTTACAATACAGTACTGTACGTTCAATTTAAATTACATTGCACTATTCGATACAGTAATTATCAACATTTTTTGGTTTCACATGTTAATGATAATTGAACAAACATCTCAAAAACTCACGGCAAGGGAAGACGATGGCGCCGTGGGAGAATTACTGGTGGCAGGTGCAAACGATGTAGTAGGACCACTGCTACAGCTGTCAGGAGAACCTGGATGCGGAGCAGCTGCAGATGGGGCAGGAGGCACATTGGGAACAATAGTAGAGGGCAATGCCAAAAGACGCTTCCGATCCTCCATATACAGGTCAATCAATTGATCTAACTTTGATTCAATATCATCAACCTAGAAAATAGCTTTGATTCAATATAATCATTCAAGAAAACATTTAGAATTTGGTCATGAATGCTTGAAATAAAAAATAAAGGTTAATATTCTGAACATAACAATTAAAAATCTCTATGGACTGTACTACAGAGGCAATAGTGCAATCTTCTAGAACATAATCTACACAACATATCACGGAAAATATACAATGAAATTCCCCACGCAACTCATGCACACATGAAGTCCTGTTTTACAGAGAAACTGCACAGCTTGTTTTGGGGATACAATACCTTCCTGCTTGTTTTTTTTCCTCTTGGCTTGGACTGATCTAGTATCACCAGACTCAGTACCCAGATCAAGCTGATATCTTTCCACCAAAAACAAATCCAAGAAAATTACGAGAACTACTGATATCATATCAGCTTCTATTGAGTTGATTAAATTCTGCTTCTTGTCTCCTGTAGGCACTAGTGACTCACATGGGAAAGGTTGGGTGCATAAGACTTGGAGCTACCAGGCTGAGTAGCTTAGGGAGTGATCAAGTTGAGCCCCTCACAAAAAAATACCTTAAACTTATCTTTGCCACTGAGAAACGTGCATTGCTACCAGACACACGTTTCACCCACTTATATTAAGAAATCATGGGCAACACAAGCTGAATAGTTCACAGATGAAAAAGAGCAAGAATATGCCTATAGGCAAGCAAAGTAGTAAGCAGAACAATCCTAATGAAAATATTAAAGCCCCGAGTTTGCAGTTGGGCAAAACCAGTCCTTTTCCCTGTCATAAACTATTGTGATGCATTATCATCTGCACGTCTGAATAGTTCACTATTAACTATAAGCAAACTCTCATAAACTTCCTACTTTCACTGTACTGATAACATAATATTATACACACATATATTGACATGTCACTTATGAAATATTATGTGCCTAGGAATCTATGACAAACTGCCTGACACAAAATTACTTAATATAAATCAGCAATTAAAAACAATAACAAACCCAGACAGCATGGAACACCATCATTTATATCATTTAACATGCTAAATATAAAAGCAGTGTATACATTCTGAAGTATACAGTACTGCATATCATCAAAACTCTGAAGTGCAATCCTGACTTAAAATGACTCGTTCAGGATCACAACAGAACACATGTGACATCACACATGTGGCATCACACAAAACCCAAGTATCACTGACATTCCAAGAGTTTCACTCAACCAAAGTAAACATGCTTTATGCTTCATTTACCTGAATTTACCAGAGGGCCACCAACACTAATGGCCTGTGCAATCCTGACCTAAAATGACTCGTTCAAGACCGCAACAGAGCACATGTGACATCACACAAAACCCAAGTATCACTGACATTCCAAGAGTTTCACTCAACCAAAGTAAACATGCTTTATTTACTTGAATTTACCAGAGGGCCACCAACACTAATGGCCTCGATGAGGACAGGAAGCCGGTAGCTTGTCAAAGGTCCCCCTATTTGCCCTGATGATCTTTTCCAGCTGTATTTTGAAACCCAGCAGTTTTGGCATTTACAACTTTGGCAGTTAGGCAGTTCCACAGGTTTACAACCCCATGAGTGAAAAAGAATCTCATGTTTTCTGTTCTACATTGTGGTTTGTTGGGCTTGAAACCATTGCTCCTCGTTCGTGTTACATCTGACCTTCTGAAGAAACTGCCCTGATCAACATCCTCTAAATAGTTCAGTATTTTAAAATTTTTGATGAGATCCGCCCTGTTATGCCTGGTTTGCAGTGTTGTTAGCCCAGTGGCCCTCAACCGTTCCTGATACGTGAGATGACAAAGCTCCGGTATGATGTTGCACCTACTCCAGAGCGGCTATGTCTATCTGAGGATGAGGTTTTCATGAATGAATGCAATAATCCAGGTAAGGCACACCAGAGACTTATACAATTGAACGACTACTTTTTTTCTTGAAGGTAAAGGTACACTTGATTATTGCCAGGGTTTGGTTTGCTTTTTTTTTACTACTGCTCCCACTTGTTGTGCAACTCTTGGTGAATGATGGATTTCGACTCCAAGGTCCTTTTCTTCATTTATCTGTTGTAAGGTAGTGCTGTCAATTCAGTAGTTGTGATGTGGATTGTTGTGCCACACATGCAAGGTCTTGCATTTATCGACATTTAAAAGCATTTGCCAGTTATTTGACCATTTGTGGAGTTCATGTAGATCTCTTTGTAGGGTCTCAATATCACCTTCTTGCTGGTGATATTATCTTTATGTCTAGACATGCTTTATGCTAAGATTCCTGTGCACAAGGCTGTTTGAAATATTAATTGGAGTGGAATGTTCAGCTCAGTTGCACATTCTCACAGCACCCAAGGTGAAACTCCATCTGGTTCAACTGCTTTATTTCTTACTAGCCCCTTGAGTAATTTTTCCACGTTGTCTTGAGATACCTCTATGTATTCTATGGCATGCTCTGGAATTGGTATTGGTGGTGACCCGGCTTCATCTCCTAGGAGTTTGTGTGTTATCCTACTGTGATGACTAGCTGGTTTGGACTCCCATTCATACTGCATGTCATTTGGCAGGGGGATCTGGTTCTTTTCCCAGTTTGCCAGGTTTGGGTTCCTGGTGACCTGGCAAAGCCTCAGTTGGTTCCAATCCCAGGTTTGGACCTGGCTGGATCTCATTTGGGATTCTTGGGACTCCCAGTTAGTGTCTCTTTCCCTGCCTCCTACAAATATGCTTCACCTGCAGCATCATTGCTGTCTGGTGTTGCATTAGCCCCAGGTGATTTTTTGGCTGGTCAAATGGTTGTGCGGGAGTCTAAACTTTGACTGTATTATATTTCCTCTGGGGAGGTCTCCCCTTCAGTCAGAGATGTTTTCTCAAGGCTGTGTTTCTGTTGGCTTTTGCCTCCACTTTAGGCACTTTTCCAGACACAAGGGTTCTAATTTTTTCGGCCCCAGAGGCCAGTTTGTTCATTTGCAGACTTCTTCTGTAATGGTGGAAAATTAGTTGGCTGGCTTCTGGAGATTGACACTTGGTTGGTTCAACCAGGAGTGCAAATATTGCCATGCCCAGTGGTGGTGGTGCTTTGTCACTACCTGTATGCAGATGAGGAGTCACAATAGCATGGCTAAAGAAATGTTTATTAAACCACACACTAGAAGATGAAGAGACGAAGACGTTTCAGTCCATCCTGGACCATTACCAAGTTGATTGTGATAATGGTCCAGGACGGACTGAAACATCGTCGTCTCTTCATTTCCTAGTGTATGGATTGTTCAACACCACCTGTATGCTACCGGTTTTGCCTTGGTGGACACCTTGTTGGTTGGCCATGTTTTCTTCGTCCCTTGTTCCAAGGTGCATGTTGCTCAGGTTGTCTGTAGTGTCATCAAAGCTAGCATACCAGCAGTATATCCTCAGGTAGGCACTCTTAAGAATAACGACATGTTAGAGAAGACAACTGCATTGGCTGTCATCTTCTCAAACATGTCTTTAACAAATATTTGGGTTTGGGGGTTTTGGAGGTCTAACAGGGTTTTGGCAGCCTCGTATTTGATTAATGTCCCAGTCAGTCTTGTGTAGTACTGGGCAGGGTTTGCTGCCCCATGGTCTCTTCTTTGGACTAACACCTGCCATCTCTTCTTCTCCCCCCCCCCCCCCTCTGGCAAGTCCTTGATTTCCTGTTTCTCTGTGATTAGTTAAATTCAGAAAGCCACCAAAAAATACCTTCCCCAAAAACAAGCATTGAATATAATGAAATGCCTCTTTCTGGTAGAGCTTTGGTGACTGACTTCCTACCAGGTTTGTTGGTTTGGGGTGTATCAGCTCTGGACTAGCCTTGGAGTCGGCTGTGGGCTGCAGATCTGGACCACCTGTTGACAATCATCGATACTAATGGGTTTACACTAGTAAGTGCTCCTCTTGGTTCATCTTCATGATTTGCAGTCTTGACCGCTTTGTTGCTTCATTATCTACGAATCTTTCAGTTGTGTGTGTAAATCTATGCTTTTTGGATGCTTTCTCAGCTTTCTGCACCTCTGTGAGGGCACCAGGATCTAGCTCTGGTCCCTGGCAGGCAACAGGGACTCAATAATGGGACGCCATCTCAGCAAGATAGCTTTAGGACAGGCATGTCAAACATGTGGCCCTCGAGCCACATGCAGCCCTTTGCAAGCACACCTGTGGCCCGCACAAAGTATACTGTAATTTGGTAATTTAATGGCCAAAATTGCAGTGTTTATAATTTAAACTTCCACCTTTTAATAGATTTCAAAAGCCCAAAAGAAACACAAATGCAGTTGTGATACAAGCGAGTTAAAACTTCTAAAAATAGACATGACGTTAACTGTTAAACTGGCTAAACCTAAATTAACTATCAAACTAAACCTAAATTTCTTTCAGTTTTTTAACCAGTGATATTATTTTTAATTTATATTTTTATTTTTCAGATCCCACATCAAATTTAAAATGGCTAGTACACCTCCAGCTAAGAGAAAAAGGAAGTAAGTAAGTAATTATCAAAAGAAGGCACCAAACCGGGAAGGCTATGTAGCACCATCAAATGTGCAAAATAATCAGAGGGCGCTAAATATCACCAAGGATGCCAATACGAGAACAAAAACGCATAAGGCGAACGATATCAAAAGTATCCGAGTCACCAAGAATTCTATTGAGGGACAGGCGACCGCGAGGGGCGGTCGGAAAGCAAGACACACGCTCGTCCTGGAAGTCAGGACATTCAAGAAGGACATGCACGACCATAAGAGGGGCAATGCAACTAGGACAATAAGAAGCAGGGCGGCGCTCCATCAAGTGACCATGGGCTAAGCGAGTATGGCCAATACGCAACCTCGCCAGAGCTGTTTCCCACCGCCGGTTACGGTGGAAGGACGACGACCACGAGGAAACACAACATTTAAGAGTACGTAGTTTGTTACCAGTAACAGACAACCAAGAAGCCTGCCAACGGGTAAGGACGGAGGAATGGATAACCGGGTAAAAGTCGGAATACGGAATACCTT